ACTATAACGACGAACCTTAACTTCAACAATACCTTGTGACTGCAGTTCAATTACTCACTGTCTACACACACACTACAACCATCTCCCACGTCACGTTTTTCCCCTCTTATATATACCCGCCTAACCTATATCTAGTAAGAACTAGAACATTCGCCAAAGTACAGGATAATTCTAGCAACGTTGCGTCACTGTAGTCATGTGACTCGCTGACGCAACAGTACTAATATGTTTAGTTCACGAATCTAAATATAGTTTTTATGTTTGAATGCAAAAGGTGTATTCAAACGTTGCAGCATGCAGAATTAGTGTCGTAATGAAGTTTGTCATTTTAGGTATTTTCCCTAATGTTCAGAATTTACCAACAATTCTTTATAGTACAGTAACAAGGCACATAAAATGGGTTTACATCGTTTTAACGCCATTTTTAATGTGCATGCCTTCGGGATAATAATTCCCATTGCAGTCCAAATAGTAGTGTAATTAAAAACTAGATTAGAGTATAGGCTTTTTTTTCCACTTATAAAATGAAATCAAACTGTGATGCAAATTCTGCATTTCAAAAATGCTTATAAACATAAAATAAGATATAAATCACCAAACTGTTCGTGGAAAAAATATATTCCGCGACATGTGCGAGCTAAGATTATGACAAAAGTTAACCTATACGTGAAAACATTTTGATATATTTGATTAGTGCACATAGAAAAACAAGAAGACGTGGACAATTGAATTTAAAATTAACTTCGCTAATGAGGCGACTGACGTAAGTTGATATATTCATATAAATATTATGTCACACACCCTGTGGCTCAGCGGCAAATCTGAGGGCTTAAAACATTAAACATAGAATTTTGACACCCGCTGTTCGCAGAGGACAGACAATTCATTGTGTAGGTTTCTGCATAACAAACAAATGAGCATGAAATTAGCATAGTTTTTCGAGTGGGAGGTAAAATTATTTAGCCATAATGTATGTTTTTTTTATTTGTTTATTGTTATTAAGAAGAGCGAGTATCGAAACCCAGACTTACCGCCAAGCCACGGGGGGATGGACAATGTTGGTCATAATATAAAAAAATAGTATAAAATATTTTAACATGTTTGATGCTTCTAGACAAACCTAGTGTTTGTACACTAAATAATTTTATGTTTTTTTATGCGTGTAGCTTTATTTAAGAATTCAAACAAAAAATAAATCGGACTACTTCACTAGTTTCTTTGTTCAACAGACATTGAGGAAAGATTATATAAAGTCACTGCTGTTTCTCTTATATACGATACACAGGTAACGGAACACAGCCAAACTTCATTAATTCGAAAATTACATAACTTTTTTAAAAACACTCACGTGACCAATCTCCGTTCGTCCTGAGATGAAGCGTAAACTTGGCTTGATCTGCCGTTGCACACTAATTGAATAAAACGGAATAGTCACACGTCAACGTAAAATCACTTTGGTTAGATAATGCTAAGCAAGTCTGAAAAAAAAAATCTGCCTTTCCCTTCGAAAATTATCAGAATGTATGTTTGTGTAATTACCTTATGTGGTGAGTCTTTCGTAGGTGGAGGTTAGAGTTCTTTTTTTAAATATCTATTTTTTTCTCTTAAAAAACTGTTTCAATAACGCAATCGTTTATTTTAACAACGATATTTATGTTAAAACAAATAGAAAAGCACGTGGTTCAGCTGTAATGTTAAGGGACAAGCTATTTTTTTGGTATTTCTTTTCATGCCAAAAATAATGAGCCCTAATCAATTTAGAAAGCGTTAACTAAAGCCAATCTGAGGTTACCCTCTCTTGAGATGGAACGTGTGACATCATTATTTCCTAACACAGCCTCAACTTATTGAAATTAAAGAATAGGTTAAACAATCGCCAAGTTTTTTATATGTTTATTTGAAGTCACATTGCAAACATGAAAATAAAAATATAAACACTTGTTTAACCTATTCTTTAATTTCGATATCTTTGTCGCCTATGCGGTTAAATGTACATTTCTATTCATAAAGCCTCAACACACTGTCATGGCTACGTCATAAAGAAAATTCTCGCATGAACTGAGTGGTAATATCCCAACAATAATTTTTTTTCTTGTTAAGTAATAGCTTTTATAGCTCAAACTATATCATTGTTCACTGAAGATAAATATAAAGGAAGTTATATAGGAAGAAATATCCTGAATGATTTACATATTATTATTATTCTAGAATCTAGAACGTTCTAAGAGTTTTGGATAAAAATAATGAAACTATCATATGGGCTATTGTTTAAAAATTATTTTAGTACATTTTTGTGTAAAACTTTATCACATAAACCTTTACTTACCGAGGTGACTGTGAACGGATGCCATTCCAATAATGACACTTTGGGACAATTTAGAAGGACATACTAAAGAAAAAAAATCATAAACATGGATTATCTTAACAATTCCAGTTTCAAAATGCTTAAATTTTGTTTCAAATTTTAAGTGAATGATCCACAACAATAGGGCTAAACTTCATAATCACATGCAGCTTGCACTACTTTTGCAAACTGATTATTACTAGGACACGGCGTCCTCTGTTTTTCGGACCTAACCATTATTATCATACAGTTCCCTAGTGTCCTAAATTTTCTAATGGTACCCACATCTTTTTTCATCTTACCGTTAGTATGTAACAGTGTCCCTTAATTTCCCCAAACTGATCGTTATCAAGAAATGACATTTTTTTGCTCCTCCAACACTACTCTCATCTCTGTGGCTGTAAGCTTGAGGGTTTATAAAGCTAAAACGTAATTCGATCTCTGTTGTGGGCACAACGCGGATAACTCACTGTGCGTCTTTGCGCTTAAGACGAAAACAAAGTTTTCCAAAACAGATCATTGATTTCTTGACAACCATCAGTTTGGTATAACGTAAAGGACACTGATAAATGGTAATGATCAGTTTGAAAAATCAGAAGGCATCATTTCATGATAATGATCTGATCATGAAATCAGGATACACAATTTCTTAACAACCATCAGTGTGTATCCTGATTTCATGATCAGATCATTATCATGAAATGATGGCTTATGATTTTTCAAACTGATCAGTACCATTATTCAGTGTCCCTTACATTATCCAAAACTGATGGTTGTCAAGAAATTCTGTACCCTGATTTCATAATCAGTCCATTATCATGAAGTGATGGCTTCTACTTTCCCAAACTGATCAATACAATTTATCAATGTCCCTTACGTTATACCAAACTGATAATTACCAAGTTTTCGCAAACCGATTATATTAGTCATTGGCTTTTGATTTAACAAATTAAAAATGTGACGTACACTGTTTACACGAACCTATATCGCCATATAGCAGTTTCCTGTATAATTGACTAAACTACTAGCATATACATGTTTTCTGGATTGCCTGTGTTACCTGCATAATACCTACTTAATGAATTAAACTACAGTTAAAAACACTTAAATTAATCATCGAATTATCATGGCCTACTTAACTTTATGTTGATAAGTATGCCATTATTTATTGAAACGAAACTGTCTGATCAGTCTCACTTCGTCTAGTTAGTACGCAAGTAGACATAGGGTGACGTCTCTTCCACATTATACCACATAAAGAAACATAGCAGTAGCGCTTATAAAAGCGTTTCATAGCAATATCTTAAATATAATATAAAATAGTATTAATTTGTCACTTCAATGGGAAAGAAAGATGGGAAGTCTTACTTGTTACTTCAATGAGAAGTGTTACTTGCCACTTTAACGGGAAAGAAGGATGGGAAGTATTCCTTGCCACTTTAACGGGAAAGAAGGGCGGGAGGTATTACATGCCACTTTAACGGGAAAGAAGGATGGGAAGTATTACTTGCCACTTTAACGGGAAAGAAGGATGGGAAGTATTACTTTCCACTTTAACGGGAAAGAAGGATGGGAAGTATTACTTGCCACTTTAACGGAAAAGAAGAATGGGAAGTATTACTTGCCACTTTAATGTGAAAGAAGGATGGGAAGTATTACTTGCCACTTTAACGGGAAAGAAGGATGGGAAGTATTACTTGCCACTTTAACGGGAAAGAAGGATGGGAAGTATTACTTTCCACTTTAACGGGAAAGAAG